CACCACCACCACCACCACCACCACCACCACCACCACCACCACCACCACCAGGGACTCAATCCCCTCATGCATGGTTTTCTAAAGGCCAAAGTCAGACTGGTATCACACCATGGCACTTAGTGGTAGGCAGAAGGTAATATATACGCTACCATGCTACCTCAGGCCCACAACAGAAAAGGGAGTGAAAGGGAAAGGGGAGGTAAGTCACTTACCTGAGCTGCCTAAGGTTGCTCAAATGAGGGTGCTTTTCTTTAATTAGCTCCCACAGCCGGCCCGGAGTGGCAACCACAATCTCTGGCTGGCGGTTTAGCATCCTCTGCTGTTTCTGCGCAGACATTCCACCAACCAAAATAGCAGTTTTAATTCCTACGGTACACAAAATAGAAAAGACCCTGTTATTCAGTTGGCTGCATATTTTCTGCCACGAATGACACAGGTGCCCCCAGATTAGCAGAGGCAGTCCATCACCAGGACAGCTCTCCTCTTTTTTTGGGGGGGTCGCTAAAAGAGTGGGCCTGGCCTGACCCTTAGTGCCACTCCTAGAAGGCACGTTAAGTCTTCTATAATCTGGGCCTTGCCTACTTCCCCAACCTTTCTTTCTACTCCCTCCCCTTTATCAACAGCAGAAGAGCTGGATTTGAACCCAGGCATGTTTACATCCAAAGTTCCAGGAAAACTGAGCAATAGGGCACCACAATGCTGGGAATGAGGTCACTCTGCAGCTGTGACACACTTCCCAAGAGAGCCCTGCCCATCCCCCTCAATTAGAATTAATGCCTCTAATGCCTACTGTCTGTTCTGTTCTCTGGTGGAGGACTTCTCAAGGTATCCAATGTGGAAAGAAAATACAGGATCATGTAGGCAAACTGCTTAGCAAAGTGCCTGGCACACAGTAGGAGCTTGGTAAGTAACTGTTGCTTTTATTATAAAGTTAAAATTCTCACGGTGCAGCCCTTCCCGAAAGGAACTCCCTGAGAGAATAAGTTCTAGTGCCCTAAGGCAGAGGTTGGCAAACATTTTCTTAAAGGGTCAACAGTAAGCATTTTGGCCTTGTGAGCTAAATCTGTCACAACTACTAACTTTACTTCATTCTACCTTAGTAGTGCAAAAGCAACCATAGATACTATGTAAACAAATGGGTGTGGCTGCACTTTATTTACAAAAAGAGGTACTTTGCCAACCCCTGCCTTAAGCATCCACCATATCCAACAAATTGACTAATTTCCTATGCATCTGAGTGGCATTGGCTATGCATTATCCTTGGGAGAATTGAGACAGTGTCACTCAAACAATTTTCTGTAAGACTTAGTTCTCTGGCAGATCGAGAGAGATTTCCCCCAAAAGGGTAGGAGCCATAGCTTGTTCACCTTTGCCACCCCAGCATCTAGGATCCTCTCAGTAAGTATTTATTGAACGGAATTAAAACCTCACCTGTAAACTTGGCCACAGCATCAATGTGTTGCTTGACCTGGACAGCGAGCTCCCTAGTGGGAGTCAGAACCAGACCAAGCAGAGGGCGCTTTGGATGTGCTTTACAGGTGGCGATTTTGCCACCCAACTCTTGCTTCCACCTTCCAGTCTCCTCTTCATCAAGCTTTTCCTCTTTGTCTTCATCCTGTTCGGGGATGGCCTTCTCCCTGATCAGAGAAGAAGGCCCTTCACCAGCATCATCATCACAGAAGGGCAGCACCTGGTCTGAGAGAGCAGCTCCAGTCTTGACCTTGCTAGGTGGTGTTGCAGCCTTCACTTCAGCTTCACTGGGCAGGACTTCACCCTCAATTCCAATCTCATCGGGCAAAACTCCAGACTCAGTTCCAGCCTCGGTTCTGGTCTCACCAGGTAATGCTCCTTTGTTACTTGGAGCTGGAGTAGGCTTCTTCTTCACCCGCCACTGCAGTATTGCATGGATCATTGGAATGGCAAAGGCAAGAGTTTTTCCGCTTCCTTAGAAGTAAAACAAAAAACAGAAACAGTGTGAATCAATAAATACACAGTTTTTGTCTGGGCTTCTTTCTTTTACACAGAATAAGGGACCCTGATAGACACGTGCTACCCTGAACAACCCAAAGCTCCTCCACTCAGCACAGGTTGCCCAATAGCAAGCACTGCAACCAGAGGATATCAGTAATTAAAAGCCTGAGAAAAAGTCTAGCAGACTAGCACTGAGGCCTGAGGTCACCAATGTGAACTACACACAAAGTCCAAGCACTGAAACTCTAAACAGACAGGTTTTGTGTGTTTTGTCGTTGTTTTGAAGAAACACCACCACATTAGGGTATGGGGAATGGAAATCTATATACAGTTTCCTAAGACGTTTGCTGCAGAAGATGGCAGTAGAAGACAATTTTCTTAGTTTTTCAGAAAACTTAAAATTAGTACACTTTTATCTATGCTTGAACATTTTCAAACCGGTCTTTGAATGTATATGAAGCCCAAATTCCTATCTTCTGGGTGGTTAATACAAACAAACAAGACAGCTCAAGTTGAGAATTTAAAGTAGTTCCAAAGTTATAATGCCCCCAGCAAAAGCAAATAAATTATCTCTGGAGGAAGAAACCTTTATTATAGGCCTCAAAGAATTCTCACAAGGGGCACCTGGGTAGCTCAGTCGATTGAGCGTCCAACTCTTGGTTTCAGCCTGGGTCATGGGTTTGAGCCCCAAGTCAGGCTCTGCGCTCAGAACAGGGTCAGCTCAAGGGGTTCTCCCTCTCCCTCTGCTTCTCCCCCAACTTGATCCTCTCACTCTCTCAAATAAATAAAATCTTAAAAAAAAAAACTATTTAAAAAATGCTCACAAATTATTTTCAAAGGAAAACGAGCAGCTCTCAGTAAAAAAATAACCCATAAGAAAACAAGGCACCGTAAGCAAGAATTGTAACAAAAAAAAGAGAGCAAACAGCCCCTTAACACTTTAGATAAACAGCACTTTTCATCAGAAACCATCAAAGCTAGAAGACTGTATTACATCTTTATTTGAAGACCTGAAAAAAAATCCGACAACCTACAACTCTCTTAGCAAATATTCCTTTCAAAAAAATGCAAAGTAAAGACGTTTAGGCACACAAAAGCTGAATAATTTATCATCAGCAAACCTGAACTACAAGAAGTACTAAAGGGAGTCTTCCATGCAGAAGATGCTACTGGATGAAATTCTGGATCTGTACAAAGGAAGAGTACCAGAAACAGTAATGGTAACATAGATAAATATGAAAGATTTCTTTTTCTTATTTAAACATATTAAGTTTAAACTTAAAATTATTAAACATAAAAATGTATTTTGGATTTCTAACACATATAAAGTGTAAAACAAAAAGCACAATGTAAAGGAGAAAGGGAAATAGAGTCTTGTAAGATTCTTGTACTATATAAAAAATAGTATGTTATTACTTGAAGATAGTCTATGACATATTAAAGATATACACTATGAACCCAAAAGCAACCACTTAAACAACAGTTACAGCTAATAAGATCAATAAAGGATATGAAATGCCATTAAAAAATAATCAGTCCAAAAGAAGTTAAAGAGTACAGCAAATAGCAAAATAACAGATTACAACTTAACCATTATCAAAATCACATGAAATGTAAAAGATCTCAATAAAAGACAGATAGTCACAATGATTAAACAGCAAGACCCAACACATGCTCTCTACAAGAATGCCATTTTAGTTTTTTTTCTTACAAGTCTCAGTTTAATACAAAGCATATGATAAAGGATAGAGATGAAAAGCCAGATGAAGAGGTACATAAGGCAAGGTCTGGAAGGGTTCCAAGGGCTTCTGTCTCCGTGGAACTGGGGGTGCACCACCCTTCCAGAACAAGGAAGGGTTCACCAACTTAGAAGCTCCAAGAAACCCACTTTAAATACAATGACGTCAATAGATTAAAAGTACAAGTATGAGGGGCACCTGGCTAGCTCAGTTGATAAGAGCATGTGACTCTTGATCTTGGGGTTGTAAATTTAAGCCCCACACTAGGTGTAGAGATTACTTAAAAAAAAAAAAATCTTTAAAAAAATACAAGTATGCAAACACACCATGCTAACATTAATCAAAATATAAAGCTAGAAAGGTACATTAATATCTGATTGAGAAGATTTTAGAAAAAACAATACGCTGGGGATAAAGGGGGCCATTTCATAATGAAAGGAATAAATTCATTTAGAGGATATAACATTCCTAAACATTTACACACCTAAATATAACAGAGCTTCAAAACACAGGGAACTGCAAAAAAAACCTACCAGTCAAGAAAAAATAAGTGACACAAATATTTCTAATACATTAAAGCAATTAAATCTGTAGTTAAAATCCATCCTACAAAGTAAAGTGCAGGCACAGATGAAGTCTACCAAATATTTAAGGAAGAAAAAAATACCAATTCTATACAAACTCCTTCAGAAAACTCAAGAGAATACTTCAAAAGTCATTCCAAGGCTTGCATTACTCTGATTCCAAAACCAAAGATATTACTAGAAACCTATAAGCCAATATCCCATGAACAGAAATTCAAAAATTATCAACAAAATTTCAGCAAATCCAATCCAATATATAAATGGAATTACACTGTGACCAAATTTGGCTTACCCCAGGAATGTAAGTTTAGTTTAGCATTTGAAAATCAGTGTAATTCACCATTATCAACAGACTCAAAATGAAAAACCACTTACCTTAATAAACGCAGAAAGAGCATTTCAAAAAACCACCATTCCTGATAAAAATGTTCAGCAAACTAGGAAATGAAGAGAATTTTCTCAATCCAATAAAGGACCATCTATGAAAAACCTAGACCTAACATCATACTTCATGATGAAAGACTGAATACTGTCCTCCAAAGATCAGGAACAAAACAATGGTGCCCACTCTACCACTTCAATTCAAAACTGTACTGGAGATTTTATTGCGGTAAGACAAAAATAAACAAAAGACATCTAGACTGGATAACTATAGAAAACCTGATGTAATCTTCAAGAAACTATTTGATGGAGGGGGCGCGTGGATGGCTCGATTTTGGTGTGGGTCATAATCTCAGGGTGGTGAGATCAAGACCTGTGTTGGGCTCTATGCTCAGCACAAAGTCAGCTTGGAATTCTCGCTTTCCCTCTGTCCCTCCCCCTGCTCACTCTCTCTCTAAAATAAATGAATAAAATCTAAAAGATGGTACCAAGTTGGTACCAAGTTGCAGGCCACAAGGTCGATATACATAGTCATCATATTTCCATTTCTTAACAACAATCTGAAATAGAAAAATTTAAGTTGCCATTAACAATAGCATCAAAACTATGAAATATTTAAGGACAAATCTAATCACAGATGTGCATAGACTAAAAACTACAAAACACTGCTAAAAAATTAAAGACCTAAAAAAATGGAGATATACTACATTCATGGGAAGATTCTATATTGTCCAGATGTCATTTGTCCTCAGTTTGCTTTATAATCAATGCAATCTCAATCCAAATACCAGCTGGCTTTTTGTAGAAACTGACAAGTTGAGTTTAAAATTCAAATGGAAATGCAAAGGGCCTAGAACAGCCAAAAGAACTTTTAAAAGGAACAAAGAGGACTTATACTACCTGATTTAAAACTTGTTCTAAAGTTGCTGTATCCAAGATAGTGAAGTGTTTTTGTTTTTTTTTATTTATTTGACAGAGACAGACACAGCAAGAGAGGGAACACAAGCAGGGGGACTGGGAGAGGGAGAAGCAGGCTTCCCGCCAAGCAGGGAGCCCGATGTGGGGCTCGATCCCAGGACCATGGGATCACGACCCGAACCGAAGGCAGTCGCCCAACTGACCTGAGCCACCCAGGCACCCTGATAGTGAAGTTTTGATGTAAAAAGAAAGACAAGTAGATCAATGGGGGCGGGGGGGGGGGGAAGACTCCAGAAACAGACCCACACCTAGAGAGTCACTAATTTTCAAAAGATGCAAAGGCAAAACTCAGTGGAGGAAGGATAGTTTTTCAACAAACGGTGCTGGATATCCACATGCAGGGTTGAAAAAGGAACTCTGACCCACACTTCTCACTGTAAACAAAAGTTAATCCAAGAAAGATCACAAACTGAAACATACAACCAAAAACTAGTAACACTTCTAGAAGAAAACACTGGAGAAAATCTTTGTGATCTTGGGTTAGGCAAAGGATTTGTAGATAAGCACATTTGTAAATCAGGAAAGTGATCATTTGATCTTCATCAAAATAAAGAACTTCTGATCTTTCGAAAGACACTGTAAAGAGAATGAAAAGACAAGCCACAGACTGGGAGGAAAAAAATCATAAACCAAGTGTCTGATAAAGGGGCTATATCCAGAATATATAATGAATTCAGTAGTAGGAAAACAACTACCCAATTAAAAAATGGGCAAGAGAATTGAAAAGATACCACCAAAGAATATACAAATAGGCACTTGAAATCAGATGCTCAATGAGTCACTAGGGGGATAGCAATTAAAGCCACAAGGAAACCATGCTAAAATTATTAAAGTCTAAAATGAAATTAAAGACTGAACACACCAAGTATTGGCAGGGACAGAGACCAATTTAAACTCTAACTGGGTGGGTATGTAAGAGGTATAATCACTTTGGAAAACTAAAAGGTTACTTTTACCTTAAGACCTAGCTATTCCACACGTATTTATCCAACAGAAATTAAAGCATATACCCATACAAAGACTAACACACAAATATTTATGATAGTTGTGGCTTTTTTAAGATTTTATTGATTTATTTATTTAGGAGGGAGGGGGTGGGAGGGAGGGGAGAGAGTGGGAGAAAGCGAGGGAGGGAGGGGGGAAGGGGGGGAGAGAGAGAGAAAGAGCTCCAGTGGGAGACAGCATGCGCACACAAGGGGGAGGGAAAGGAAAAGGGAGAGAGACTCTTAAGCAGACTCCATGCTGAGCGGGGAACCAGACATGGGGATAAATCTCAGGACCCTGAGATTATGATCTGAGCTAAACCCAAGAGTTAGAGGCTTAAATGACTGAGCCACCAGGTGCCCCTATAGATAGTTTTATTTGTATAGCCAAAAACTATAGAGAACAAAAACATTCACCAACAGATGGATAAACAAATTGTGCTATATCCATACACTGGAATATTACTCATCAATAAAAAGGAATGAACTATTGGTACTTGCAATAACACAGTTGAATCTCAAAGCAGCTGAGTGAAAGAGCCAAACACCCACCCCCTCTCAAAAGTACATAGTGTATGATGCCGTTACATAAAATTCTAGAAAATGCAAATTAATCCAAAGTGATAGAAAGCATATTAGAGGTTACCCTGGGGATGAACAAGGAGCGGGGGCCCAGGAGAGATTTCAAAAGGGGCCCAAAGCATCTCTGCGGGGTGATGGAAATATTCATTAACTGTATGGGCAGCAATTGGTCCACAGTCCCGAAAATCTTTGTGAATCTTGGACCTGCAGATTCACAGCATTCCACAGGGATAGCCTGACAGGAGCTGTGGTATGAATCCAAATGTCAGGCTCTAGCCACAGTGGCTCATATAACCTTGCCTCTGCTTCCAGAAACCCATTTCCAGGCCTTTGCACAAACCAAAGCAATGTAGCAGAATGCTTAATAGCACACAGACCTAGTCTAGCATCTAGGCACTACTACTTTTCAGCTGTGGTTTTATGATACTGTCTTCTGTGAGGCTGTTTCCTCATCAGTAAGATGAGAATAATGCAACCTATCTCAGGGTGATTTTGAGAACTGAGTTCATCAGTATGAGGTACTTAACACAGTGCATGATACATTTTAAATGCTAAAGAAATGTTCTAACTTTCTATTATTACTTCCATTCCCCTGAGGCTTCCTCACTTTTCCACGTGACTCTTCTATAGGACCTCACCCATACTTTGCTGACCACCCTTTCCAGAAACCCAAGGCACAAAGTGTCTAGATGGTCTAGTTCTATACCATACAACATAACAGTCACTCGCCATGTATGGATGGCTACTGAGCACTTAAAATGTGGTTATTCTAAATTGAGGTGCTGGAAATTCAAAATACACGTCAGATTTTGAAAACTTAGTATAAAAATAAGAAAGTAAAATATCTCAAAGATTTTACCTTAATTACATACTAAAATTTTTATAAATTGATTAAATACATTGTTAAAATTAACTTTTACCTGTCCTTTTTACCTTTTTAAAATATGGCTCCTAGAAAATTTAAAATCCCTATGTGGCTCACATTATATATGTATTTCTATCAGTTACTGCTGATCTAGTTGGATTCTAGTACCAGGCAGTACAAGCACCTCCCTCCAATCAGTAACTTAAACTACTGAGGTTGTCAACTCACTGACCTGTCATTGCTTCGCAAAGTCTTAAGATGGCCCGGGGAATAAGGGAACTTTAAAAATGCCTAGTCCCAACAGTCACCTCATGCCAAATCTATGTACAAAATCCACCTAATGGTTACACGCTCAAATCCTTCCAATAATGATAAACTCACCAATTCCCAAAGCAGCCCTTTTATCTTTGGACAACTCTTGAGAATTAAGACACTCATTCCTTATACTGATGAAGATCTACCTCTCCAGAGGGCCGATCTTAGTCCTACTTTACCCCTCTGAGCCATTTAGGAACTCTGAAGAATAGGAAAAAACTACCATTTGCAAATCACTTGCAGTGTACTGCGTAAACTTTACTGTAGCACTTACATTTACTTTACTGTAGCACTTACATCTAACCCACAAAGCAATAAAAAAAAGGGGGGGTAGTAGGTACGGGTGTTATCTCCATTTTATAATAGGACCTATAGGGGGTCAGAGAGATAAAGCGACCTGTCCAGGGTACCAATCAGAAAGTGGCAGATTTCAACCCAGAGCTGGCTGACTTCTAAACACCTTCACTCAACACTGCTTTTGTGATTATATCCCCAAATTCCCTTCTCCCCAAGCCATCCAACCTGTTAGCAGCCACAAGGTCAACCCAAAAGCAATCTTACCCTGGCCAGCTAAGGATGCCCTTACCTGTCTCAGCAGCCCCAAGGATGTCCAGTTTGTCACGGATGGCAGGTGTCAAGGTCAGAGCTTGGATTGGTGTGGGTGCAGAGAAGCCTAGAAAGCTGAGTGCTCGGAGAACTGGCTTGGGTACAAATAGATCTTTCCAAGCTGTTACATCTGCCTTCTGGTCATGCATTTCAGGCATCCATGTCTTTGCTTTTTTGGGCACCTTTGGAGTAGTACCCTGGGATGGCTCCAAGTTTTTTTTCCCTTTCTTTTTTTTCTTTTTTGGAACAGTCGGGGCTGAGCTTTCTGATACCATCTTCTCTACCTGTGGATCAGGACAAACCGTGTCATCTCCCTGGGGCTCTGGCTCAGCATCTTTGACTTCAAACTCTTTCTGGACACTGATTCCTTCAGTTTCCATGTCTTTATTCTTCTTGAACTTCATCTTTTTCTTTGAGGAGCTGGACTCTCCTTCTTCCTTTCCGGAAACAGCTTGCGCCTTTCTCTTCTTGGGCTCCTCCTTTGAGAAGAGACTGGAGGAATTCTTGGCAGGGGAGACCAACCGGTAATCTGTCAGTTCCTCAAAGCACACCAAGTCATCCATCTGTCCATCTGCAAACATATTTGGGTCAATCTCCACCTGCTTCCACTTTCCCACAACTCTGATTCCCTTTGTCTGGAATTTGCCATAGCTTGGTGGCTTTGGCCTTGATTTTGTCTCCTTCAACTTCATGGTTGCTGAAAAGAAAAGGAGAGAAGTGTTCCATTAGGTTGGCACCTGAAGAGCGTGGGGTTCTGAGGCAACAATATTTTCTAAGCAGCCTACAGAGTATCAGGCCCTGCAAAGAAGCGAGGACACAGAGAAGATCAAAGAGGAGAAGAAATAAGCCAACAGAGTAGGCAGCTTGCCTGGAACAGAGGGTACACGGGAGATGGAGGAGCACAGACACACGAGCTAGATCTGGTTTGGATTCCAGACCCAATACTTACTGCTTCTGTGTCCCCGGACAGTGGTGTTTAATCCTCCCCGAACCTCAGTGCTCTCACCTTTTAAATAGGGGAGAGGGACCCAATAATACCTAAGTCACAAAATATTTTAGGCAAAAATTAAAATTATGTAAAGCATGAGGTTCTAAAGAAGCCTGCCACACCCAAGTCATTTTGAGGAGGAGTTTTTTTGGGGGGGGGGGGGGGGCAGGACATCAGCTTTATTGTAAGGGCTCAAGCCTTGCCCCAAGAAGGCAAATGCCTATTTCCACCATTCTGGCCTTTGCCCATCCAGCTTTTTCGTTATATTTTAAGTGATTTAAAACACATTTCAACAGAGGCCGCTTGAGTGACACTCCATCCACGGTCTCCCTTTCCAGAAAGACCAAGAAAAATCACAGGTCCTGGAGGGAAGCACAAAGGTAAACCATAGTTCAAATCCGGACGGGCTCCGGGTCTGTGGCGGACGTCTCAATCTCTGTGAAGCTCAGTCTCCTCGCCTGTAAAATGGGGATGATGAAGGATCTGCCTCAGGGGGTCGTTACAGCGACACAAAAAGGTGACGCACGTCAGAACCCGCGGGGCATGGCGCCTGGCCGGCTCAGCACGTCAGCGCGCAGGAAGGCTTCACCCACCGCCCCAGCTCCGCCACGACCGCACACCTCCCGGCTTCCACCACGGCGGGGGTGGTCAGGCACGGGGGACGAAGGCCCCGGCCCCGCGCCTAGCCTCAGGCACAACGGGCGTTCGACGCGGAGAGGCCGACGCCACCGGGCCTGGGCGCCCACACCAGGGGCCGCCACGCGGGGCCAGCGGCCGCCCTCACTGGACCCGAGAATTCAGGCCAGTGCCCTGGATAGGCCCACCACGCGAGCCCCGGGGGCCGTCCGCAACCCTGCTCGGGCTCCGGTACTCACCGCGTGGAAACGCCGTCGCGGCTCCCTCACACGCCGGCCAACCGCGGCGCACACCTCCCCCTTGCTCCCTCAGCTGCAGCGCCGACCGCAGTTCCGGGGCGGGGCTTGCACTCACGCACGCGCGCGACCTGCGACAGGAAGTCCCGCCCCCATCTAGACACCGCCGCGTGATTCGCTGCGGCCGCGGCGGATCGCAGATACCCGCTGGGCTGGTGCAGAGAGTGGTGAGAGGGCGCGTGGGTGAGGTGGGGCCGGCGGTTCTCCTCCGGGGATTAGGGAGCAGGCGGAACAGGTGAATCGGCAGTTCAGCATCCGGCTCAGTGCCAGCTTGTGCACCGGTACGCGTTTTCTTCTATTCTTGGTCTAGTTTTAGTGCAGTGGCTTGTCCACGAATGAAGTACCTACTGTGTGCCTGGAGCCTTGCAAACGTTTTAGCATCTAATTTACAACCCAACCAGCCTGTATCAGAGGTGCTGTTTTCTCTCTTTTTTTTTCATGCCTCACCTATTGCTCATAGATGGTTAGGCTAGGTCCGCCTGACTCCACAAAGCTCATGCTTTCATTGCCAAGCTCAACTGGCTCCTTTGTTATATGCAGAGAAATCAGCTTCACAGTAGACAGTCACCTTTTCGATGTGGGCGTCACCACACCATCTGGGAAACCTTTCCCGTATGCTGTCTCTGGCTGGTGACCTTGAGAAGTCCTAAAGGAATTCATAAAGTTTAAGGTCAAGTGAGCCTCCTCACCCTGCCTTGGAGCCACCATGGGACAAAATTTAACTAATTTCTTTTTTTTAAGATTTTATTTATTCGACAGAGAGAGACACAGTGAGAGAAGGAACACAAGCAGGGAGAGTGGGAGAGGGAGAAGCAGGCTTCCCGCTGAGCAGGGAGCCCGATGCGGGGCTCGATCCCAGGACTCCGGGATCATGACCTGAGCCAAAGGCAGACGCTTAATGACTGAGCCACCCAGGCGCCCCTTAACTAATTTCTTTTTTTTTTTTTAAGATTTTATTTATTTATTCATGAGAGACAGAGGGAGAGAGAGAGAGAAGCAGAAGGAGAAGCAGGCTCCCAAGGAGCAGGGAGCCCGATGCGGGACTCGATCCCAGGACTCTGGGATCATGACCTGAGCCGAAGGCAGACGCTTAACCATCTGAGCCACCCAGGCGCCCCTTAACTAATTTCTTGAGGGAACTTGCCAGTGTGTCCCCAAGGGCCTGGGTGCATAAAGCCTGTGCCCGAGTAGTGTCTGAAGAAGTCTGGTGACTAGAGACTGAAGCTGTCCAGATGGCAGAGTGAGGAGAAAGGGCTGCATGTCCCTTACATGGCAGGACAGGGGTTCCTGTCCCCTCGGGGCTAGTTACACACCTTGGAGGATTGCAGCGTTGTCCTAACAGAACCTTACCTGACAGGGCTGTTTGGGGGCAAAAGGGTCCTCAGCAGAAACCGTCTAGAAATAGGGCCCCTGAAGTGGGACTTGGGGTCAAAATGGGGTTTTTCAGAGACCACCATCCTCAGTGGTGGTCTCTGAAAAACTGGCAAAAGCATCTGTATTAGTCAGGGTTCTCCAGAGAAACAGAGACAATAGAATATGTATATACAGAGAGAGAAATTTGTCTTAAGAAGTTGGCTCAGAGTGATTGCGGAGGCTTGACATAACCAAACTTGGATGAGGTAGGCCAGCAGGCTGAAGACTCAGGGAAGAGTCCAACAGCAGTCAACTGGCAGAATCCCCTCCTGCTCAGAGAATGTCAGTCTTTGTTTTATTAAAGCCTTCAACTAGTTGGTTGTGGCCCACCCACACTGTGGAAGGTAATCTGCTTTACTCAGAGTCCACAGATTTAAATGTGAATCTCGTCCCAAAAACACCTTCACAGAAACATCTAGAATAACGTTTGACCAAATTTCCAGGCACAGTGGACACATAAAGTTAACCATCACAGCATTCTAGGACAGAAAAGAGTAGCTTTTGTTTGGATATCCTCCATGTTGGAGGAGACAACTCTTTTGGACAGCCAAGAAAAATTTACAAACACCACCAGCTAAGTTAGAATAGCTTTTCGCCCCTTTATCTCTAATGGCTTTGGGCAGTTGAAAGCAGCCGTATGGAGAGAAAGTAGCCATACGGAGAGGAAGTAGACGAAAGAGGGATGAGGAGCAGATTACCTCCCCTTTTCCCAGCTCTATGTCTCAGAGCCTGGATCAGACCTAAGCTGGGGAAAAGGGAGAAGTTAGAAATTTGCATGTGAGATGGAAATTTGGACATCAGATTAGATGGTGTTTTTGTTTACTCATTATTTTTTCACGATATGAGGGGGTGTTTTCCCCCTGATTATTATGGATGAGATTTTAAAATGGCATTCTTTCTGAGTCAGTTTTAGTGGAGGCACAAAGAGGGAGAAGAAAACAGTAAGTGCACAGTTTCCTTCCTCTCCAAAGCAGGTTCCTTAGAGAGTGTTAGACCTGACAAGGAAATTGTCTCCAAACAAGTTTCATGACACGTAGCTCAATATCTAGTTCTAAGTTTGAAAGGATTGAAATTGAAGAGGCTGGGAGAGAGAGAATTTCCTTGCAGAACATTGCTTACAACTTGTGGCTGAAGTTAAATATAAAGTATAACTTGGACTTACAATAATGTATTTCAACAAGCATCTTCTTCAGGACTCCCAGCTTGTTCTCCTTGGAGTGTAGCACTTTCAGCTCTGCATTAGGTTGGGAGATTTACTTTCTTGTCTTAGTTCTACTAGATTACAAGTACCTCAAAGAATTTCCTTCTGATTCATCTTGGTATTCCCTAACATGCCTAGTCAGTGTCTGGCTGACGTAGTGAGTCATAGGTGTTTGTTGAATGAATGAATGAGAATGCCATTGACCTTAGCTTGAGGGCTAGTTCCCCTTGCCCACTTTTATAGTTAAACCCAGCACCAGAAGTGACGAATACTGACTTTGTCATATAGCACCTGTTCATAGTTCATAGCAGCTTTTTTTGTTACGGCCCAAACTGGAAACAACCAAAATGTCCTATGATAGATGGATGGTCAAACTGTGTGTGGTTATCATTTTGTAATATATACATATATTAAATCATTATGCTATACACCTTAAGCCTACAAAATTTGTATGCCAATTATATCTCAGTAACGCTGGGGGGGGGGAACCTATGGTACATCTCTTCAACAATAGGTAGGAATGAACTAGTGGAACACACAACGTGAATAGATCTAAAGGGTATTATTTTGAGTGAAGAAAGCCTTGTCTACAGGGCGTGTAACAGTCTTGAAAGGACAGAATTACAGGATGGAGAACAGATTAATGGTTTCCGGAGATTAGGAAGAAGGGCGTGTTTAGAGGTTGAGTATGTGGAGTATCTTACACAGAGCTCCTAAATCCTTTGGAATTTCCTGGGTGACAGGAACATCTTTTGTTCTAATGGGATGATTCTTAGTGGGCCCCTGGGTGGGGGCTGGTCACCAGAAACCCCAAGCCGTGATTAGAAGCTTGGAACTTTAAGCCCCAACCTCCAAGGAGGGGAAAGGAACAGAAAACGGAGTTGATCATGCTTATGTGAGGAAGCATAAAGTCCCTAAAATGTGGGGTTCTCAGAACTTCCGGGTTAGTAAACAAGCCCATAATCCATCCATGGGCTGGAAGGGTGGCACACTCAAACCATGGGACAGAAAGAAGTTCCTGTGTTCAGGACCTCACCCTATATAATTTTTCATCCAACTGCTCATTTGTACCCTTTAATAAACTTTGTAATCAATCAGTAATAGTAAGTCAAGCATTTTCCCAAGTTCTGTGAGCCTTTCTGGCAAATTGTCCAACCCAAGGAGGGGGTCATGGGAACCCCCAATGTTAGCCAAGGTGGACAGAACTTGTGGGTAACCTGGGACCCATTTCTTAGGATTAGCATCTAAGGGAGGCAGTCTTATGACCCTGAGCCCTTACCCTGTGGGGTTAACTTCAGTTAGCATCAGAACTGAGTTGAATTGCAGGACACTGAACTGCTGTCCACAGAGAAATGGAGCATTGTCTGGTATGGAACAACCCACACATCTGGTGTCAGAAGTGGTTGTGTAGCAGCAGTGCAGAAACCATTTCCAAATGCTCAACATCACTTGGCATCAGGGAAATCCAAATCAAAGCCACAATGAGATACCACCTCATGCCGGTCAGAATGGCTGAAGTTAACAAGTCAGGAAACAGCAGATGTTGGCGGAGGATGCGGAGAAAGGGGAACCCTCCTACACTGTTGGTGGGAATGCAAGCTGGTGCAGACACTCTGGAAAACAGTATGGACTCAAAAAGTCAAAAATAGAGCTACCCTATGACCCAGCAATTGCACTACTAGGTATTTACCCCAAAGATACAAATGTAGTGATCTGAAGGGGCACGTGCACCCCAATGTTTATAGCAATGTCCACAATAGCCAAACTATGGAAAAGAGCCTAGATGTCCATCAACAGATGAATGGATAAAGAAAGTGTGGCGTATATATGCAATGGACTATTACTCAGCCATCAAAAAAATGAGATCTTGCCATGTGCAACAATGTGGATGGAACTAGAGGGTATTATGCTAAGCGAAATAAGTCCATCAGAGAAAGACAATGATCGTATGATCTCACTGATACGAGGAATTTGAGAAACAAGACAGAGGATCATAGGGGAAGGGAGGGAACAATGAAAGAAGACGAAACCCGAGAGGGAGACAAACCGTAAGAGACTCTTAATCTCAGGAAACAAACTGAGGGTTGCTGGAGGGGAGGGGGTCGGGGGAATGGGGTAACTGGGTGACGGGCATTAAGGAGGGCAGGTGATGTAATGAGCGCCGGCTGTTATATACAACTGATGAATCACTGAACTCTACCTCTGAAACTGATACAGTGTATGTTAATTAGTTGAATTTAAATTAGAAAAATAAGGAAAAGCCTCTGTTGCCCACTCAGATGTAAAAATAACTTACACCTGAGTCATCATTATTCACCTAACCCCTTGCCCAGACCTCTGAAGAAGCTCCAAGCACCATGCATTAAAACATAAAAACCATAGAGCACATACATATAAACACAGTAATTTGGTGTTTCTTTACCACCA